CCAGGCATATAAATAGTGAAGTGCTCGACCTAAAAGAATGTGGGTCAGTGTTGCCAAACCTTAGTTTTTCAAAACATCAGAAATTCAGATTTTCATTTAAATTTTAAAACACTGGCAACAACTTAAATCAAAAAACAAGAAACCATCATAAATCGAAGAAAATATACCAGCAATCAGGTTGTAACCTCTGCTTTAAGTCATGGAAAAACCTGAACTATCAAGTTTGGAAGGACAGGAAACCTTACATATAAGATCAGCTTGCTCACCAACCACCTCCTTTTAATATTCCAAACTCGGGGATCTGAGAGAAGGGAAGTTTACCAGGTTTTTGTAACCTTGCCAAGGAATGACAGAAAAAGTCATTCCATGACATATTGGGATTAAGAATTTCAGTGACTGTTTGTATGGGTAGTACAGAAGAAACTATCATTAAAATGTACTTGTTTTAGGGAGAAAATGAGAGAGAGGAAAACACTAGGTAATGAGAGAGCACCTCGTCTATGACAGATTGTGTTGAATGTGATATATTATTTCTTTGTTTAGTTGTCTACTGTCTGTTTTAGACACAGTCATAGGGCAGGACTTTTCCTTGTTCACCTTTATATCTGCCCCTCACTGCCTGGCACGAATATATAGGTCATAGCACGTACTCTGTAAATATTTCTAAAGTGAATGAATGAATCTGTCATTTTCATTATACAAACAAGAAAACTATCACTCTAAGAGAATATGCTATTTGTTCAGTATCATTCAGCTAGTAAAAATAGAATTAGGAAATAAACCCAAGTTTCTGTGTTCTTTGCACTAATTTTATCATCTGAAATTAAGTTAAAACCCAAATGGTTAAGGCCCTTTTTTTTGTGCTATTGGATAAACTGCCCTCAAAGATCCTATAAGTCCTCTCTTCACATTTTGCTACTCTGAGTTTAATGGCAGCAGGGTTTTCCAACCTAGCTTCCAACAAAGCTTTCAGGAATGCACTTGCCAAGTAGTACAATGAAATTTTAAAAAAGAAAAATCTATCCAACACAGAAAAGCAAGACTCCTAGAAATTCCTAATCCTCAAATTAGACTATTTTTATTTTGTGCTGATGAAAACCCTGTGGTCCTATGGGTTTTTCCCCAGATGCCATATTGTCATATATCAAAAACTACTGATAAAAGAAAAACAAACAAACAAAAAACCCTGAGCCTGATGTAGTTGAAATTGGAAACTATACATGCTGCTGATGCATAAATTGGTATAATTCATTTGGAAAAA